TTTTGGCTACATATTTCAAAAAGCTAATTGCGATAAGACTTATCTGTTGTGAATTGAGCAGCTGAATTAACTGGAGATACTGATCAAATGTGGAATACTTTTGAAATATATTTTTTTAAATATTCAAGATAGGCATGTTTGTTATAGAAAAAAAGGTGGCTGCAAATAAAAAACCAGGTTGGCTGAAAAGGATATAAAGGACAAAATTAAATAAAAGCATTATTAATATACGAAGTTTAAATTCAGTACAACGATGGGAAATTTAAAGGGTTATACAAGCATGTATACAAGATCAAAAGAGTTGATCAAATGGAAGTTAGGGAAATTAGTAAATCGAAAACTATATAAAAAAAAGGTTCTTTAAAAGTGTAAAAACCAGTAGTAAGGACTTATTCAATACATTAAGTATAAGTGAAATGCTAGGATGGGAGCAAGACCTTTGAATGACGGTACAGAAAGGTTTGTTTGTTTTTGAATTTCGCTCAAAGCTACACGAGGGCTATATGCGCTAGCCGTCCCTAATTTAGCAGTGAAAGACTAGAGGGAAGGCAGCTAGTCATCACCACCCACCGCCAACTCTTTGGCTACTCTTTTACCAACGAATAGTGGGATTTACCGTAACATTATAACGCCCCCACGGCTGAAAGGACGAGCATGTTAGGTGGGACGGGGATTCGAACCCGCGACCCGCAGATTGTGAGTTGAGCGCCCTAACCACCTGGCCATGCCGGGCCGGTACAGAAAGGCTCATGTCTGATGATTATAAAATGACTGAGTTATTAAATTCTACTTTTTCTTCAATTTATACTGCCCCCCCCCCCAGTAGCACAGCGGTATGTCTGCGGATATACAATGCTAGAAACCGGGTTTCGATACCCGTGGTGGGCAGAACACAGATAGCCCATTGTGTAGCTTTGCGCATAACTACAAACAATCAATTTATACTAATTAAGGTGTATACAATATTTATTATCCTGAACAATTATTTTTAAGTTCTTGAATAGTAGACAGGTTCTAAAAGCTTGTAAGTTGAATAATGTTACTCCTGTATTCAAAAGAAGTGATGAAAAATTGACCCACTAATTATAGACCTATTAGTCTTACATCCTTGATGGAAAAAGTGTTTGGAAGACTGATAAAAGATGTTTTGAAAATTCATTTTAAAAAAGATACAAATTTTGCTGGATTGTCAGCATGGTTTCATTTTTACGTTATTTGAAGAGGTTACTGCTTATGTAGGTGTGTGGTAGATTTGGTGTATCTGGATTTTCAGAAAGCATTTGACAAGATGCCACATAAAATGCAAGTTAAAACGTTACCTCTGTGGGCGCGAAAGATATACTGGCTCATCGAATGGAAAACTGGCTAGATGGAAAAATGCAGAAGATTATCACAAATCGAGTGCAATGAAAAGGTTACTCTTTGTTAGGATCTTTGTTCTTTTTCATTTACATCAATGACATAAATAAAGGAATAGTCAATAATTCATTTACATTTGGTGATGTTTTTAAGGTTTTTTTTTGTGTTGCAGGCTGTGAGGAGGAGGAGGATGCTTTACAAAAAATTGGTTATTTGATGAGTTGAGCAAATGAAGAGCAAATTGTTTTTAATGATAACAAATGCAAGATCATATCATAGTTTTAATTGTGAATGTAATTTGATGGGATTAAACTTAACAGTGTTATGGAAGAGTGTTTTATCTTTATTTTTGGAGTTTAGTTTAGTGGATAGGATGGCCTAGATGGTCCATTGTTGTCCTTAAATTATTTGTATATGTATGTATAGTGTGAAATAAAATGAACAAAATTATGTGAGTGAAGTTTGACATCTTTATTATAATTGCCATTTTGTTTAAAGCATTTTAGCACGTATGCGTTGGTGAGAATAAGTATAGAAGCAGCTTATGTTAAGGACTAATCAATTTTAATTTCAAATAATATTAAAATTTGTAAAATAAAACAAAAACTCTAGGAAAACTTTAACAAAGCTTGCTACCATGTAAATTATGAATACATGAAACGTTAAAATAAATTAAAAAGATTCTCTTGTGTTTAGGATCGTTTCACTTCTCCATAATTATACTCCAGGCGGAATTATGTAATTCAACAGAAATATCGAAAGACCATCTAGATTATTTTAACTTTAGATCACTAAACTTTTAACTTTAGATCACACGATTGAATAAAAAGCTACTTTTTCATACCGTATAAATAAAAAAGTAACTGAATTTGAGTAATGTTGTTATATGTTATTTTAATTGGACAATCAGATAATTTGTTTATCTGCGTGTTAAATTCGTAAGCATGTATTGAGAATTTATTTCACTTTTAACACAGGCTTGTTAATCTTCTAAGTACCATTTAGTTTACAGAATCAAACGTTACATGAAGGAAAGGTGTATTGTTTGGAATTAAGCACAAAGCTACACAATGGGCTATCTGTGCTCTGCCCACAACGGGTATCGAATCCCGATTTCTAGCGTTGTAAGTCTGCAGACATACCGCTGTGCCGCTGGGGGGGGGGCAGGAAACGTGTAGTACCGCTTATGTCTCTCTTTTCGAGTTTCCTATTTCATTTTGTTTCTACGCATCTTGTGTACAAGAATATTAAAAAATCCAAACCACATGCCAGTTTCTTTAGGCATAAATAAAAAGTATTCATTTTATGTGTTACCAAAAGCCCACAAATCCCTTGTAGTGAGACCATTCTGTGTGCCTGGTTTTGTCTACGAACACTAACTACGTTAAAATCTTTAACTCAGCAGGCCTCCCAGCTTCTATTGAAGTCATGTTCTTCTCAAGATTTATGTAATTCAACAATGCCTTGATGTTCATTTTGAATCTGAGAAAGAACAACAATAGTATTTCATTTCGCTTAAAATAATATTAGCAATATAAAACGTAGTGACTGAAGGGTTTTTATAATGTATTTATATAAGGCATGCGGAAGGTATCATGTTGCTTGTACGTATTGTGGGAAATGGGTCTTTTATTATACTTACACAGCGTATTGTGGAAGGGCTTTTAATGTAGTATTTGAGGGATGCAAATGACTAGAGGTGTAATGAAGGTATGTTGCATGTAAATACCGTGGGAAGTAGGTCTTGATCGTGCTTACATAATGTATGGTTGAAGGGTTTTAGTGTATTTATAAGAATTATGATTCAGGTGTGTTGTATACCTCATATAAATACGCTACAACTGTGTAACTACAATTCAAATAGGTCTTGAATCGTATTTACACAGGGTTTGAATGTACTTATGTAGACCATATGTTGCATGTACTACTGTGCGAAGCGGGTTTAATATCATAATTAAACAACGAAAGTACGATTTCTGATGAGCTATTACTTACAACGTTTGTTTAACCGTATATCTAGTAAACAACTTCGAAAATATAATGTTGTACTGTACTTATTACTGGATGTTTATATGTTTATCGACAGACGATATACAAATGTATGTTAATTCTTCTTAACGTGGTAACAAACTCATTACTAAGAGGTTAACTCTTCCAAGTGTGGTAACAAACTCATTACTAAGAGGTTAACTCTTCCTAGCGTGGTAACAAACTCATTACTAAGAGGTTAACTCTTCCAAGTGTGGTAACAAACTCATTACTAAGAGGTTAACTCTTCCTAGCATGGTAACAAACTCATTACTAAGAGGTTAACTCTTCCAAATGTGGTAACAAACTCATTACTAAAAGGTTAACTTTTCACTGCCACCAATATTTCTACATACATAGTAAAAACCAAAAATACACTTTTGGTAATATATAACTACTTTTCAGAAACTTGAAAGTGGTAAACTTTGGGAAGGAGCATACCACGTTCTAGAAGGGGGGCAGTGACAGTGAAAGAGTTAATACATAAAACGTTTAACAGAATTTTTTATCAGATTTTGAAAATACTTATTTACTTAACATTAATTTTTCAACATGTGTCTACAGTAAATAAATTACTTTTCGATAAATCGATAAAGATATATTTTCTGTTTCCCGTTTGCAACAGAAAGAGAAGCAGCGTAGATTCCATCAATGGCTGATGTTATGTTTAATTGGTTTTCAGGCATTAGATCTCTTACATTGAAAAGGGGATTTTTTAACTTGATAAAACATGTGTGTATTAACGTTATGTTTCTCCCTCGTGTAGATTTCGTATTCATTTACTGAATTCTTTTATAAAATGCAAACTTTAACTTGGAAATATGCTGAACTAACGTCTATGGAAAAGATACGAAAACCTTATATACGCTGCAGTTATTGAGTGCAGAAAAGACGGACACGCTGCAGATCTGTTTTGTATTCTCCAAGGCAGTGTAACGTTTTCGTGACTCTGCCATTCGGAAACCGTTCTTAAATGTTTATCGGGGGCAACGCGTATATACGACTTTATATTCAGCATAACCTGCCAGCTAAATCAAGCTTGTATTTACGATACACAAGATCGCCGTAAAAATCGTGATCAGTATTAGTAAGTACACAAATATAACTGAAAACACAGCCTTATAACGGAACCGTCTTAATGAATCGCAAATAAACGTCTACCTTTTTAATTTCCAGCACAATAAGAACCGTTGACGCATGTCTAAATAACCAGATATCAACAGTAAAGTACTGCCCACGTACACCAGTGGCACAGCGGCAAGTCTACGAACTTATAACGCTAGAAACTGGGTTTCGATACCTACGATGGGTACAGCACGGATAGTCCATTGTATAGCTTTGTTCATAATTACAAACAAACTTTTATATTTGTAACTGAAAGAATATTTGGAAATATATTTTATTTAAAACTATACGGGACTGTTCTTGCCTAATGCTTTTAATACATCCCTCAGATTACAATGAGATATGAATTTAAAGTTAGACTACTAGTTAATCGGTTATAAAGTAATTGTTCACAAGTTTTCTGGTAAATATTTTTATTTGCAACTTAACTAAATAAGAGCAGTTTCATTAATGGTTTAATACGCCTGTTCTTTCACGTGGCCGTGCAGAAGAGATATTAACATGTTTGGCTTCATGGAAAGAAGGATCAACCCGCTACCTGGTGGCAAAAATGGAACACAAGGGAACAAAAACAGATGATGATAAGTTTCGTTGTTTCGTAAGTACAAGTCGATGTATATTCCACCTGGAGACAGTTTGTTGAAACTCATCTTATAGCTTTTTCTAGTAAAATGAGCTCGAAATTAAAATGTTTTATTTACAGTTCGTAACCTAACTAGTAATACGAAAAAATATATTGGAAGAAGGAGTATCAGCTTAACAAATACCGAAGACTCATTCTAAATGTTCTATTAATTACCGAATATTTGAAGTTTGAACTATTTAAAGTGTTAGGTGTCAGAATGAACTTCTTATATGTTGTGTTGTAATACTAAAAATGAATGATAATTAATTTCGTGAAAACTTAAGTGTTGATACAAACAAATATTCGGTAAATAATAGAAGAATACACCTACAAAGTTTGAACTATTTAAAGTGTTAGGTGTCAGAACGAACTTCTTAAACGTTGTGTTGTAATACTTAAAATGAATGATAACTAATTTCGTGAAAACTTAAGTGTTGATACAAGGTAGGTGTGTTCTTCTATTATTTACCGAATATTTGTTTGTATCAACACTTAAGTTTTCACGAAATTAATTATCATTCATTTTTAGTATTACAACACAACATATAAGAAGTTCATTCTGACACCTAACACTTTAAATAGTTCAAACTTAGTAGGTGTATTCTTCTACATTTCGATCTATAATTAAATCCATGAATAGCTTCCAGTTTTTTACACTATGAACCATCGTATCCTTCCCTTTTTTTACTGAACAATTTCCTAAAGTTACTTTCAATTTAGTTGTCATATGATTTCATTTCATAGCTTTTATAATTCCAGCTCTTTTCTTCATCTTTAAATGTGTATTTGTACATTTTGAATCATTATTTTAACGCAATTCAGAGACAGAATATATTAAACGTTTTCCGACGAACCAAAATGTTCTAATGTTGCTATCTTTTTCAAAATGCCATCATTGGGAACAATAGTTTCCGCTCATGCGCCACAAAAAAATCCCCACAAAATTGCTTCAATGCTTTGACCATGTCCCCACACAAAAACTCCCAATTTCTAAAAACGCCGAATGTTTGTTTTATACGTCCATAGCATACTTTCCCACTTATTCTTCTAATTTCTGAAACGCCGAATGTTTGTTTTATACGTCCATAGCATACTTTCCCACTTATTCTTCTAATTTCTGAAACGCCGAATGTTTGTTTTATACGTCCATAGCATACTTTCCCACTTATTCTTCTAATTTCTGAAACGCTTGTCCATGTTCACATGTAAAATACTTGTTTTTTTAGATTGCGACTTTTCATGCAGACCCAATTTTTGGCATCACTCTTCAACATAAATTTATGGTTTAATTATCGATTTGATGCTGATGTTTTTTAAGTTATATCATCTTCATGTATGGGTGTTTTCCTACCTCTTATTGAACTTTAAACTCTCAGTTTCAGTAAAACACTCTAATTTTATTTGACCGCAACCTCAATCCGCGTTTTTTTTATTTTGTTTTTACATTGTGCGAATTAAGAAATAATATTCGTTTTTATTTATTTTACTGGTTGATTCTGCTTTGTTTATTTCACTTTTAGATTTTTTGACGGTTACAAAATTTTTGCAAGGTGCAAGTATTTTATTGGTCATTCACTGCAGTGAACTCCATTGAAACAAAATTTAGAACAGATGTGAAAAATAAATGAGTCATTGTGGAAGCATTTTCAATGGTAAAGCACAATAAATCCACACATTGATAAATTAATGTGGAAACGTTTTCAATGGATTAAGCCCAATAAATTCACACATTCACTGATATCCGATGGTTTATATGCTAGTATGATATTTATAAGAACAATGATTGTTTTTATCGTCCTTAGGAAAGGAGTATCTGAATATAACACAGACTCAGAAAGTGAGACGCCATTCTTCTATTTTAAATTAGTATTTTTTTATCTTTACTTATCTTACAAGACTCCTTCCAGTAACTGGACTGCTACTGTATATAATGTTTCACACGTTACCAGTTTCGCTGGGTTTTTCAGTTTACTGTAATATGTTTATTATAACGTTAAATGCCTACGCTCGTGGACCATCCAGATTTTCCTCTTTTTTTTTTCATGTACACGAAATCACTTCCTAGGAGGCTTTTCGTTATTATTAGAACTCGTTATCTTTTCCAGATACAACAGACAAATTTATTTTTAAAATTATATTTATATATTGTAGTGTTAAACTCCAAGACTGGCGAAGAGTGGAAGAAATGTTATAAAAATCCACTTCAACTGTTTGTTTGTTGTGTAAATCATTTCAGTTAATACATTACGAATTTTAGACCACTTTCAAGTCTTGAACTTTTGGGTGCATTTATTGTAATAAAGTTGCTCCATCTTTGACATTTTCTGCATCTCTTATCACGCAGAACATTCAAATACGAAATCAATTCAAGCGAAACTATCTTATATAACTTTCATTATTACATTATCAGATGTTGTCTTAGAGCAATATAAAGTAGAATTCTATGTAAAAACACGCTTTACTATTGTGTAGCTTTAGATTGTTAAATATAATTTTTCAGAAGCCTGTGACAGTTTTGTTTATCGAATTAGATAACTAAATCAGTTAAAACTGATTTTTTCTTGTATAAATTATTTAGTTTATTTAATTTCAAAAATATTGTTGGTGTTCATAGTTATCACCTTTCTTTTTTTTTTTTTACATATATATTGCCCCTACCGATGATAAGAGGCATATTTTTAACCCATGTTATTGATTGCTTAATTGGTACGTTATTGCTTTCCTGTATTAAACATTCTGGAATACTGCTAAATATCATAAGACTGAAAAAACAAAATATTTTAACGACATGCACATTTTACAATTAAAGTATAAACGCGTGATGCTTGTGACGTATTAGAAACCACGGGCCAAAAATTTAGGATGAAAATCATGTAAACTGCGAATACTTTTTTATCCATGTTCTTCCTAATTTCTCCATTTGAGACTCGATATCAGAGGCGTAAAAAAATAACATTTCAGGTCTATCGTTCGTCCCCCATCAGTCATTGCCCAAAAGGCCTTTCGTTAAATACAAGAACTCGTCGGCTGTGCTGGACGGGGTGAAGTAAAATACTCTGTGAAGCACTACTTATATACGCTGTATAATACTTTAAAAATACGGTTTAAGAGCCGAGAGATGGTGAAAAATTAAAAAACAATAGGCTTAAAATGTGTGATAAAATAATGTAAATTGCAAATGTTTTATACCACGTTCAGTCTCTTATTCTCAAGCCAAACTGACGAGCTCTGTTATTGAATTATATTGATGCTGTCTCATTATTTTACCTTTATGATATTGATGTCATCTACGTTACTTCTTGGTCAATATTATAGCTGTATGATATTGACGCTGTCTACGTTATTGTGTGGTTATTATTTAGGCTGCACATTATTGATGCTGTCTACGTTTCTGTTTGATTATTATCATAGCTGCATGATAATGATGCTGTCTACGTTACTTCTTGGTCAATATTGTAGCTGTATGATGTTGATGCTGTAGACAGCATTGTTTGTCAGTTAATAACAATATTTTGCCAATCTCTTTCACCAAATGATGAGCGATCACTGAAATAATAGTATACAATTAAACAATAACAATAAAAAAGTAGTAACAAAATACTGATACAATAGTTAAGCCTAACGAGTTAAATTTTCACCTACAGTCTAGATCTAGCTACGGTTTGGAAACATTCGTAAATCTAATGCAATAAGTAACTGCGTCGTTTCGTCAGCCGAGCACCTTTAACCACTGAGGATTCCACCCATTAGTACCTGCAAAAATTGTAAAGAATAAAGAGGATTCCACCCATTAGTACCTGCAAAAATTGCAAAGAATAAAGAGGATTCCACCCATTAGTACCTGCAAAAATTGTAAAGAATAAAGAGGATTCCACCCATTAGTACCTGCAAAAATTGTAAAGAATAAAGAGGATTCCACCTATTAGTACCTGCAAAACTTCTACAAAATAAAGAAAGATATGGATATCTTAGTTTTACGTTTAGAAGATGTGTTCAGTACACAGAACAATCTAATTATATTTCTAGTTATTAACAAATTCAAATATTTTAAGTTTTAATGTTATTTCCCTGCTTCACAGTCCAATATTATCTCGCCACGGTCTCCCGTTTATCAACAGATACGAAGAATAATTACCATCTATAGTTATAGAATATCATTATTATCAGTGTTAGTTAATATACATATCTCTCTTGTAATGGAATATCATTATTATCTGTTTTAGGTAATATAAATATCTCTCTTGTTATGGAATATCGTTAATTATCTGTGTTAGTTAATGTAAATATCTCTATTGTTATGGAATATCGTTATTATCTGTATTAGGTAATATAAATATCTCTCTTGTTATGGAATATCGTTATTATCTGTGTTAGTTAATAATAAATATTTCTCTTGTTATGGAATATCGTTATTATCTGTGTTAGTTAATAAACATATCTCTCTTGTTATGGAATATCGTTATTATCTGTGTTAGTTAATACAAATATCTCTCTTGTTATGGAATATCGTTATTATCTGTGTTAGTTAATATAAATATCTCTATTGTTATGGAATATCGTTATTATCTGTGTTAGTTAATATAAATATCTCTCTTGTTATGGAATATCGTTATTATCTGTGTTAGTTAATATAAATATCTCTCTTGTTATGGAATATCGTTATTATCTGTGTTAGTTAATCTTCACATCTTTCTTGTCTTGGAATATAATTACTGTCTGTGTTAGTTAATCTTCACATCTTTCTTGTCATGGAATATAATTACTGTCTGTGTTAGTTAATTTTCACATCTTTCTTGTCATGGAATATAATTACTGTCTGTGTTAGTTAATCTTCACATCTCTCTTGTCATGGAATATAATTACTGTCTGTGTTAGTTAATCTTCACATCTTTCTTGTCATGGAATATAATTACTGTCTGTGTTAGTTAATCTTCACATCTTTCTTGTCATGGAATATAATTACTGTCTGTGTTAGTTAATCTTCACATCTTTCTTGTCATGGAATATAATTACTGTCTATGTTAGTTAATCTTCACATCTTTCTAGTCATGGAATATCATTACTTTCTCTACCTGTATTGGTCTATTAGTGTTTAAGAAATAATCTTAAACAATCATTCTTCGTTTCACATTGAGTCAGCCAATATTTATTGATTATCCATCCCTGTTTTTATTTTAACTAATTTTAATCAGAAATTTTGAAACGAGGAAACTGTGCTTCTCTAGGTAAGTCAGCGGTGATGAAACGTCAATCTTGTCTCTGTGTTTGTCGCTGTTATAAAATATTGTTACTTTTAGTGTACCTCTAATTCTGTCCTTAGTCTTGGAATATAGTTATAATATCACTGATGGTCTCTACGGTTTATGTAATATTTTTGCTCTTATCATAGTTGCTTTAGGGCTGACTCGTTATATAATAACAACATTTTCTCTGTGATCTAGGTATGCAGCTAATCGGTAAGTTTCATATTTGTTTTGTTTTTGCAATCGAAGGTGTATGACAGATTGCAAGACGATTCTGGGTTTCGAATAGCTCAGTCTGGAGACGCCACGTGCGACGGGTTGTTTTCGGCTGTTGAAGGATCCCGTACAATGAAACTTAATAGAGGTAATATTAGAATACGTATCCGATTTCTTAGTTAAAAATAGTGCAGGGAGAGACATGTAGCTGTTGAATTAGGCTGTTTATAAATGTCATTATTCCGCTGAGACTATGTTCCCAGCTTTATCATTTTGTTAAGACTACATTCCCCAGTGAGTGTGAAGATGTTATTCAGTAATACTGCTATAATGAGGAACATGAAATGAAACGTCAGCGATTTGATAAATTGCTGGAAACCATGCTATATATATAAGGCAATGCTTTACTTTAGTATATGTATATTTGTGTTTGAAATTAAGCAATGTTAATGAAAAGTCAAAAACAGCAAGCAACTACCAAAACTAAATTGTACTGTTTTCTAGTTTATTTTGAATTTTCATAGTTTTTATTTTTGGTGATTTTGTGAATCAGTTCGTCATTCTCACGGGAAATGCCAGTTTCCAAATTGGATATCTGCAGCAGAGCGCTGGAGGACATTGGACACTTTGTTGACATACGTTTTTAGTGATCCGAACACCTCCTTCCACATATATAGTAGTATCAGCGAAGAGTTAATGACACGAGCTCTTTGCAACAGTGTTAATCATGTGACTGATGACGCTACACGACTTGTGGTGCAGTCTTCTTCTGGTTGGTAAGTTTTGTTTAAGTTTCGATGCCTTAAAAATAAGAAGATATTTTTATCATGTTTTACTTTATTATAAGTCTTGTTATTTTTACTTTTTGTGTTTATAGGTAGACATTATGTTTCGAACATCTCATAATAATCAAAGAAAAGGACTGTAAGGACCTGATAGTCTATTTATATATACCTTTATCTAAGATTCTGTTCATCTGACTACATATCTCTCTGATCGTCCACCTGTCTTTCTCTAAGTTTCTGTTTATCTGACAAGATATACTTCTATTTGTAGTAGATGGTTCTATTTGTCATAATAATCAAAGAAAAGGACTGTAAGGACCTGATAGTCTATTTATATATACCTTTATCTAAGATTCTGTTCATCTGACTACATATCTCTCTGATCGTCCACCTGTCTTTCTCTAAGTTTCTGTTTATCTGACAAGATATCCTTCTATTTGTTCCTAGAGACAGTCTTGTCTTCATTTGTACTGTGTGTACAATAATGACACATTTTTAAATGTTATTTAAAGTAATTTAATTTAAGTAATCTTACTAGTCAGAAATCCTGAAAACAAATGATTTAAATTTCTCTCCTGGGACGTATCGTTGAAATCTCCATATCAGATAAACGTTAAGTAAAACTAACTCTTTTTTGTCAAAATTGATCTAATTCACAACATGAATTAGGAACTGCACTCCATCATAAATTACTGTATGTAACCCTTCCTTTGTCTAGAGCTATACCGCGAGAAGAGAAAGTTAACTTTAATTAGACATCCTTAGAGATTTAGGGTTTTAAAGATTTTAACACTAATTCTTGTAACGTTTCCCATTTTTAATTAAGCACTTCACAATTTGTAATTAATTACCAGTGGTGAAGTTCCAATCAGTAAAAAAATCACACTTTTGATTGCCTCAGTTTCTTTGAATGTTAAGAGAATCCAGGTCTCTTCTTTTTACAAAGTTTTCATTATTTTTACACTAAACACAGGGGATTTCTTTTGATAAGCCACAAAAATAACTAGAACATGCCTTCAGCTTCTACCATCTCATGATCATATGATCATATTGATGATGCGATCACTTGTATAAATCAATATCGTGATCATATGATCATATTGATGACGTGGTCCCTCTATAAATTAGCAAGCAGAAGATGTAATTAAATGCTTTATGGATAGAATTGAGAAAATGGACCAAGAAACAGTGCATTTTAATCTTGTAACCGTGTAGTAATAACTAGTCGAGATTGACGTTAGCGAAGAGTGTTGTTTGATTTCGTTAATGAATGTTTTCTTTGACGAATTTTCAATTTGTTGACAGATATTCAATGACTTAATGAACAAGAAAACAAAAATGTGGTTTTTACTTGGTCATAACATACGTTTCATGAAAGGGTACATCAGGAAATTTCTTCAACAAGAAAACAAAAATGTGGTTCTTACTTGGCCATAACATACGTTTCATGAAAGGGTATATCAGGAAATTTCTTCAACAAGAAAACAAAAATGTGGTTTTTACTTGGCCATAACATACGTTTCATGAAAGGGTATATCAGGAAATTTCTTCAACAAGAAAACAAAAATGTGGTTTTTACTTGGTCATAACATACTTTTCATGAAAGGGTATATCAGGAAATTTCTTCAACAAGAAAACAAAAATGTGGTTTTTACTTGGCCATAACATACGTTTCATGAAAGGGTATATCAGGAAATTTCTTCAACAAGAAAATGTGTTTTAACTTTGTTACTTGCACGGTTGGCAAAACTAAGTGGAATTGAATATGCAATACGAAGTTTATACTGCATTTACATGTAAGCTATGTTTTAACGAAAGCTGAAGGTGCTTTAACATGTGTATTTGTTATGTGGTATTTATCAAACTGAAAGTACTCTAACATGTGTATTTCTTATGTGGTATTTAGCTTAACTGAAGGTGCTTTAACATGTATATTTGTTATGTGGTATTTATCACAACTGAAGGTGCTTTAATATGAGTATTTCTAATATGGTATTTATCAAACTGAAAGTACTCTAACATGTATATTTCTTATGTGGTATTTATCACAACTGAAGGTGCGTTTTGTATGTGGTATTTAGCTCAACTGAAAGTGCCTTAATATATGTATTTCTTATGTGGTATTTAACACAAGTAGAGGTGCTTTAATATGTGTATTTGTTATATGGTATTTAACACAAGTGAAGGTGCTTTAACATGTGTATTTGTTATATAGTATTTAACACAAGTGGAGGTGCTTTAATATGTGCATTTGTTATATGGTATTTAACACAAGTGAAGGTGCCTTAGCATGTGTATTTCTTATATGGTATTTAACACAAGTGAAGGTGCTTTAATATGTGTATTTGTTATATGGTATTTAACACAAGTGAAGGTGCTTTAACATGTGTATTTGTTATATAGTATTTAGTTATTTAACACAAGTGAAGGTGCTTTAACATGTGTATTTGTTATATAGTATTTAGTTATTTAACACAAGTGAAGGTGCTTTAACATGTGTATTTGTTATATAGCATTTAGTTATTTAACACAAGTGCAGGTGCTTTAACATGTGTATTTGTTATATAGTATTTAGTTATTTAACACAAGTGAAGGTGCTTTAACATGTGTATTTGTTATATAGCATTTAGTTATTTAACACAAGTGCAGGTGCTTTAACATGTGTATTTGTTATATAGTATTTAGTTATTTAACTAGTGACTGTAATTTGGAGTGTAATATTTAATGCAAGCTTAGCTATTACGAGTTTGAATACTGGTCAAGGTTACTGAGACGCTTATGTTAAATGTTACTAAATATTCAGTACATGTGTGCTTTGCCAAGATGTGTTGAAGTGCGTGATCTTATCAGTCTTAACACATGCCATAGAACACCTGTGGCGACTATTTACATTCATTATTAATTCCCAACGTTTACCGTCTATAGCGGCAGAGCTTATTGCATCCACTTTCTTAAGTGCATCGAGAATCTTATGTCTTTATAGGGTAACTTATTGAAGAACAGATGTGCACATCACACTAGCATCATTCTAAATAGCTAAAACTTATTTTTGTTTGAATAAAACAAACACAAGAACGAATATTGTCACTAGGCGCTACACAGCCTCTCTGTTATATCTTACATGTGAGTAAAAAAATATCTGTATTTTATTTCTTGATACGTAATTAAACTTTTCAAATTCACAACTTTCACTATTTGAATGCTTCTGTAGATTCGAGAATCTTCTAGTTTTCTTTTTTTTTTCATGCTATTTTGGTCGAAGTTGAAAGCCCGATTCAGTATTAGTTGTTTTCTTTTGGTCTTCCTTGATACGAGCTGAAGTCAAAAGTAATGTATAGCGCTTGTGAGCGAGTGTTTTTGAAGTGATGTTTCTCTTCTCTAGGCTCTTGCAGCGTGAAGTAGTGAATGTATACAGTACTGAGCTGTTATTTGATGCTCATGGTCATATACTAGTTTCTTGATTTAGCTTACAACATTACTCATTTTGGATATTATTTCTTCGTCTTTGATATTTCAGTTATTCACTCCAAAGAATTATTGCGTGTGTTTTGTTTTTGTTTTAAATAAGCTACAAATATGATGATGAGTAGTAATTTTCGTAATAATTAACTTTTTTATCGTTTCAGCTCACATGGATTTGTTTGCATGGAATTTCATCGTCGCACACAACATATTTTAGAAATTCAAGAAGGTAATTAGTTTGACATTTGTAAAAGATTAACAGTTTAGGTAACTTTCGCTTCCTTCGCAGCGACTTTTTTTTATAAAAAAGCTCAAAAGTTGTTGTTATTTTAAAACCATACAAAAACCCGTGTACTATTTAATAAATAATTAAGTAATTCGTATTTCCCCATTAGATTTATTTGATTTGATTTTAGCAACAGCGTTTTCGTACAAGTCTTCGAAAAATTTTCAATAACTGACGTGCCTTTCAATGTAAGTATAATGTTTTTGTAACAGAAACAACACTCAGTATGAATGTAATGTTTCTGTAACAACACTCAGAATAAGTGTAATTGAAACAACACTTAGTATAAGTGTAATGTTTCTGTAACAACACTCTGAATAAGTGTAACTGAAACAATACTTAGTATAAGTGTAATGTTTCTGTAACAACACTCTGAATAAGTGTAATTGACACAATACTTAGTATAAGTGTAATTGAAACAACACTTAGTATAAGTGTAATGTTTCTGTAATTGAAACAACACTTAGTATAAGTGTAATGTTTCTGTAATTGAAACAACACTCAGTATTAATGTAATGTTTCTGTAACAACACTCAGAATAAGTGTAATTGAAACAACACTTAGTATAAGTGTAATTGAAACAACACTTAGTATAAGTGTAATGTTTCCGTAACAAGACTCAGAATAAGTGTAATGTTTCCGTAACAAGACTCAGAATAAGTGTAATGTTTCTGTAATTGAAACAACACTTAGTGTAAGTGTAATATTTCTGTAATTGAAACAACACTTAGCATAAGTGTAATGTTTCCGTAACAAGACTCAGAATAAGTGTAATATTACTGTACTTGAAACAACACTCAGTATAAGTGTAATGTTTCTGTAACACACTCAGAATAAGTGTAATTGAAACAACACTTAGTATAAGTGTAAGGTTTCCGTAAGTAAGGGGACTAAAGGGTAAATACATGTTTAAGGATTTCTGCTTGGGGATTGAGGAGTTCGAATTAGCACGAAACACATATACAAGCCTATAACTCGTGGTGATAGTATTAAAAGCCAAATAATTATAAATGTATTTTACGTTTATTTGTCATTGCAAAATAACTTTAATATATCTTACATTCAATACATTTTATAAAAAACAAAACAATACACGTGCATGAGATTAACATATCGTTAAACAAATTGGTATCAATAACTGATCCTATTTATCGTTGGAGTGCAATAGAACGTTCTGGAAGATCGATATACAGAACGTGTTTACCGTAATTGCTTTAGTAGTTTTGTAAGTCTCTTTTTTTTTTTTTTTTGCCTACCGATCAGCCATTTATCTCTCTGTCCCATTAACGTACCGAACTACTTTTCTACCAAAATACGCCCATACATCAGGAATACATCAGAAATAAGTCGTTTTAGACGCGCCAAAAAAAAAAGAAAGAAACGGTTTAATATTCCAGAACATAAAGAAAAACTATATGTTTGCCCTTTGAAAACTTTAAACTTTTAGAAAAGCGATTAATCAACTAAACATAATATTATCTAGTTATTATTGTACCAATACAACTTTAATTAAGTAGCACAAATTAAAAACAAAAACCTCAAAAAATGTAATACTAGAACCTACTGTTACTATAGTTTGTTTGTATATTGTAAATTTTATAGAGTTAGTAATTCATTTCATTATAAACTATAACCCTCATATAAGTATTCTCGGAATAGTCTCCGATTTCTTTATCATTATTGTTAATTGTTATTTGATCTACTTTATATACTTTTAAAACATTTGAGTGTCGACATCACGTGCAATTACTTTTAACAATAACAAAGGTTTGTGTTGTTTATTTCTATAAAACGGTTCCAATTGCTCATTAAGCACCAGACCCATTAGGTCAATGAAGAAAGACACTTACTAGCTACACTAAAAACAATATGTTAATAAAGAAATGCACTTATTAGCTACATTAAAACTTCATAGTTAATAAAGAAAGGCACTTACAAGCTACACTAAAACCACCAGATTAATAAAGAAAGGTATTTAATAGCTACACTAAAACCACCAGATTAATAAAGAAAGGTATTTAATAGCTACACTAAAACCACCAGATTAATAAAGAAAGGTATTTAATAGCTACACTGAAACCACCAGATTGATAAAGAAAGGTATTTAATAGCTACACTGAAACCACCAGATTAATAAAGAAAGGTATTTAATAGCTACACTAATACCAGCAGATTAATAAAGAAAGGTATTTAATAGCTACACTGAAACCACCAGATTAATAAAGAAAGGTATTTAATAGCTTCACTAATACCAGCAGATTAATAAAGTAGGTATTTAATAGCTACACTGAAACCACCAGATTAATAAAGAAAGGTATTTAATAGCTATCACTAGAGGAACACAAGTGGCATTTCGTGTTAATTTTAATTATTTTTAAATGCTTTAAAGACTGTACCTTAACGTTTTGAAAAACGTGTATTATACTTTTCTACTGAGCCAACGACTTAGTTTTAAAACTAACTATTGATTTACTGTCTGTTTTTTATACGAAATGTAAGATTTCTACTGATTAAGGAACATCTAATTTAACATTTAATCCTGTCTATAGGGAACTGATGTTATCTCAGCACTTATAAGGCACTTTGTTTAATTACTCTAGTACAATGCTTTTCATCAAACATTGCTAAATATTCATAATACTATCAACAACGTTTGTCACGTGGTAAAAATGTATGCTGTTTAATAAAGTTTAATAGTAATTTAGGATCGCTCCCTCTACCTGTCGCTGAATTCAAGATGTCTTCTGTAAAATACAAAATTTTTCTTCAACAAATTTATAAACTTGAACACTTTCGATCCTGCAGTAAATTCTATCCAGTCTTAACTGGTTTGTGCCACGTTTAGTGACGTTGGTTGTCAACGCTCTTGTAAGTTTAATACAATTATAGTTTCTGTTGAAAACGGTGGCGCAGCGGTAATTCTGCAAGTTTGAGACGCTAAAAAGTGGGTTTCGATACCAGTCGTGGATAGATCACGAATAGTCTATTGTGTAGCTTTGTGCTTAATAATAACCACACCAAATCTGTTGATAACATTCTGTTTTCAGTTCATCTTAGCTCGTGTAATTGCAAATCGTGAAAAGTTTTAGTTAGCGGACTTATTGCTGTGATTTTAAAAATATCTTGCATTATAACGTACCAGTCAAGAGAGTTCATGTAGGTCCCTGTAATTGCTAGGACAGAAACTCTACACCATAAATTACATGTCTGTGTGATTTGTCAGCTGAATGTTAGTAGCAGCTTAGATATTTTGTTGAATAGATCAACAGATGCATATTCAAGGCTAGAGTTGAACGGGTGAAACTCTGGGTTAATTAAATAATTTGGTATAAATGGCTAAGAAATTCTCAAAATAGTTTGTGTAATTCACACTATATTGTTATATGTGTGTACGTTGAAATCATATACAAACTGTGTCCAGATAAGAAGTACAAACACGAGAGATTAGCCTGACTCGTGAAACGAATCCTTAGAATTCTAGAACCAGTGGAAAGACTTGCAACAGTAAGTATAGGTTAGCTTGTGACTGTAATTACCATGTTGTTTTTGATAAGAATGATAAACAACCTATCATGTTTCATGTGTTCCTACAAACAGGTGAAATGAGGTCTCGCCCGACAGATGCTTGCAGCTCTACCTATTTTAATCCCAGGACTAATCAGTTTACAACACTTACGTGTAAGTAATATTTATGTTAAACATATAATTATAATCAGTTTACAACACTTACGTGTAAGTAATATTTATGTTAAACATATAATTGCAAGTGTCTCAATGCATGCGTAGATTAATAAAAAGAATAAAAAGAGAGAAGTAGTGGGAGAAAATAGGTCTGGTGCTCACTCGCTGTACAGGACAAATAATTATAGGTTTATTTAATACTCAGAATATGCAGTTTAATTACACTGACTAATGCTTAATGATTGGAGAAATTCCCGTAGGTGCATATGTTGAATTTCATGGTTTTACTTAAAACCTTCGTTAGTTTTAATTTGTGAGTCTAGAAAATGAGAACCTGGCAGATAACATCTTTGAGTAGTTCCACATGTTGTAAAGTGAAAATATATGTGGTTATTTTGAGTGAAGGTCAGTAGTCAAGATGGCGTCAATAATAAAAATGATTACGTAAAAATAAAACTTTACTTTGACCCTAGACTTGTGTGTCGATAAGTACATTGCGAATGAGATTACGTGGAATTCTTTACTTGGATCAACGTTTTGTTGAGTGTGTGAGTGCACAAGTGTACTGCTATTAGTAGACAAGTACACCGTTCAAAAGAATGAGTGTACTGTTGAATGCAAATGAGTATACCGCTAAAGTGGGATAGTATATTGTTGACAATGGATAAGCGTAATGGTTAATGTTGTCGAGTGCACTTTTGACAGTGGATAAGTGTAGTGTTGAAAATAGATGATAGTAGTGGTGACAGTGGATGAGTGTAGTGTTGAAAATAGATGATAGTAGTGGTGACAGTGGATGAGTGTAGTGTTGAAAATAGATGATAGTAGTGGTGACAGTGGATGAGTGTAGTGTTGAAAATGGATGATAGTAGTGGTGACAGTGGATGAGTGTAGTGTTGAAAATAGATGAGCGTAGTGTTGAGAATAGATGATAGTAGTGGTGACAGTGGATGAGTGTAGTGTTGAAAATAGATGAGCGTAGTGTTGAGAATAGATGATAGTAGTGGTGACAGTGGATGAGTGTAGTGTTTACAATAGATGATAGTAGTGGTGAAAGTGGATGAGTGTAATGTTGACAATATATCATGGTAGTGATGACAGTGGATTAGTGTAGTATTAACAGTAGGTGAGTTTCAATATTAATAATACTTCAAACTTTTAAATAGTAAAATCTCACTATCTCAATTCTTGTAGCATCGGCTCCTTCAACAGAAGAATGTCCTCTGGTAGGGAGATATATGATTCAATCTTCTCAACCCCAGATGGCCAAATTTGTCTCCGATGATTTAAAGAACACTTTCTGTTCCGAACATCTAGAATCTGGGTGTAGAGCAAATGATCGTCTTGAATTTCTCAGCGAATGTTCGACTGAAAGGAGCGCTAAAAGTAAGTTCACAATTTTGATCAAGTCTTTGGACACTAGCTCGCATTCCTTTTCATGTTGTAAGTTCACAATTTTGATCAAGTCTTTGGACACTAACTCGCATTCCTTTTCATGTTGTAAATTCACAATTTTGATCAAGTCTTTGGACACTAACTCGCATTCCTTTTCATGTTGTAAATTCACAATTTTGATCAAGTCTTTGGACACTAACTCGCATTCCTTTTCATGTTTCTATAGCCACAAAAACCTTTTGTGGAACTTGTGGTGAAGTAAGTTCACAATTTTGATCAAGTCTTTTGACACTAACTCGCATTCCTTTTCATGTTGTAAGTTCACAATTTTGATCAAGTCTTTGGACACTAACTCGCATTCCTTTTCATGTTGTAAGTTCACAATTTTGATCAAGTCTTTGGACACTAACTCGCATTCCTTTTCATGTTTCCATAGTCACAAAAACCTTTTGTGGAACTTGTGGTGAAGTGAAGCATATTTAACTCCCCCTATTACCAAAATTTTAAACAGATCAATGTGTATTCCTTTCTTCATTGTGTAAAATAATGACGTAATGATCATTTTTAATTCATTATGATTCGGTACTGTATGAAAACGTGGGAAAGTTAGTAAAAAAAACTTTACCTAGTGAAATAACTGTTGAGAAATAACTTAGTAAACTCTTAACCTTACGATTATTTAAAGAGTTCATGAGTTGTTAGAAAATGTAGGATTACTGTGCTCTAAAACAATGAAAGATTAATCAGTTTTATAAGTTAGCATACTTGAGCCCTTCGGTGGGACAGCGGTAAGTCTAAAAGAGGTACAACTTAAAATACGGGGTTCGTTTCTCATAGTGGACACAGCAGATAGCCCAATGTGGTTTTGCTCTAAAAAACAAACAAATAATATATTTAATTATGGGTTTTAATTATTTAAACAACAAATGACATTTGAAGGAAAAGTACGCCCATCCGCTGCAAGAAAAAATTGTTTTCGTTAAGTACATAGTTTCGCAATAGGTTATCTGTACTGTTCCCACCAAGGGTATCGAAACCCAGTTTTTAGCGTTATAAACCATCAGACGTACTGCAAAAACCACTGGGGGGAGAAAAAATTTAATTACTAAAATTGGCTTTAAAACAGAAATGTTGGGTTTCCGCTTTACATTCAATAACGTTAACGGTCTAAAAGATATATCAACAGAATATCAAGTAGAGTAAAATGGACGGTGCTAATTAGTTTTTAAAATAATAAACGATTTCTTTCCTTTCAAATTCCCGTATCTCCCTCTTTATAATCAACTACGTTTTTAAATTTAAAATTAGAAAGTTGTGACTTTCTTTGTCGGCCGTATGTGGCCTCTTAGTTAGAGTTCCGAGTAGCAAATTGGAAGGTCCAAGGTTCGAGCTTATACTCTGACTATTAACACCGGTTACACTTTTAGATTTGAACGCGTTACAATAGTTAAGGTATGTTTCTTTGTTCGATTGAGAGTAGCCGTGTAAGCGGTGAGCGCTTATAATTCATTATTCTCGCTGTGTTCAGCATCTTAGAATGAGGGGTGCTATTATCTAAACCTAGAAGTCTGTGGCTTGGTTGTTTTGTCTGCGAGTCGTTTAGATTGAAAATGTGTTTACTTTAAGTTCAGACAAGCCTTGTGTATCAAAGAGACAGATCTACGTTTTCACAGCAAGTTCAACAGAGAACCGCAGAAAGTCATTGCACATTTGATAAAATCTTCCTTGCATTACTCTTTTCACAACCTTGTGAAAATTTCATTATTACCATCGTTAAGAATAGAAGTTAGCTTTATATTTTTAAAAATACATGAACATACACATACGGATTGAATTCTCTATTTATAAAAGTAAAATTAAAAAAAAAGAAGATATTTATTAATTGAGGATTTTTATTCCCATACAATGATACAACAGCATTTTTTATTTGATATCCAAAATTGATTGTAAGTTTGTTTAAAAGTTACATGAAGATAGCTCCTGGGAATAATCCAAACTTATCATACGGAAATATATCTAATTAATTTAAATTTAGATTGTTTCACTATAAATAATTTCCCATGACTGCGTGGCCTGGCATGGAGCCCCCCCCCCCCCAGTGGCACAGCGATATGTCTGCGGATTTACAACGGTCTGGTGGGCAGAGCATATATACCCCATTGTGTAGCTTTGTGCTTAACTTCAAACTATCGAACTAACTAATCTGGCATAGTCTGATGGTTATGGCACTCGACTCGTAATTTGCTAACCCTTTCAGCCGTAGGGGAATAATAATGTGGCCTTCAATTTCACTATTCATTTGTAAAAAGAGCCCAAGAGCTGGCATTGGGTGGTGTTGACTAATTGTCTTCCTTCTAGCCTATCACTTGAAAATTAGGGACGGTTAGTTCAAATAACTTTGCGCAAAATTTAACAAACAACAAAAAAAAAAATGGCTGCAGGTTCTTTAAAGTACAATGTTACGGTAACTTTTCTGAAGGCAGTAGGTTTCTATGTAGAAAGAAAAATACATATGCGTGCATTTTACTATTTTATTAAATACTTATAAATATCTGGTTACTTATAAATATATAAAGATTAAAATGTATCTTTTTCAAAAATATACAATGTATCTGGCTGGTGGTGATCTTTTATAAAAAAAAACTAAGCATTTCATTATCTCGACGATGAATAACCACCATCGACCTCTTTCTTCTCATTATTAGTTATTAGTGGATTTTACTGACTTTTCACTTGATTTACATAGTCATAGATCGTAATTAAGATAAAAATAAGTAAGATGTAAAAGTAAGGAGTCGAGATTCAGTTGATTTATCTTTTTCTCAGGTTTCCAATGCCATGGTAGCTGGAGAGAAAATGAAACGTATTATCTCATTGCAAGTGCACTCAGGACCAGAAGACGATACTGTATTGTAAGTTATTTCTCGTCAAAACTTTTCTCCGTCTAGAAGTCAGTTTGTGGTTTTAAATATGATGTAGAAGCTATCCATAAAGTCTTGTTATTTCTGGCTGTAATTTTATCAATCTGGTTTAAATAACCTTGCTATTTCGATATCTTGACGCGTACTTTCGTCCAGTAATGAGACATAGTTATCTTATTTCATTTTATCCCTCATAATTCCTCATATTTTCTTTCTTATTTCGTCCTATCAGTATACATTCTATAACAGCTAACCCTAGATAAGCCAACAAGCATCTGACTTCCGTTACTACTTCCAGTTTCCTGTTTTACGGACAACGCTTAGATTTCGCCTTGATCTGTAATGCTAAACTTCTTGTACAATCTAACTGAACTATCTTGATAACATTCATTTTAGATATTTTAAGCAATATAAAACCGTCAAATGTTACCTCATTCTTTATTATGTTTATCAACGTTTATTCATAATTTAAGAAAACAGCCTTGCTTGTACCTTAACAGCGCGGTTCGAAGAAGACATTAGATTCGCAAGACCACAATCAAAGCGTAGTTTCCTACCTGCGATAATCATAATTTGTTACATGTGTTTATGTACATCAATATGTCATACTAAACATACATATTTTTTTAAAACACAAATATCGGTTTTCTTCGGTGTTAAATAAATTATAGCATCAATAACTAAACGTCCTTTTCTTATCAGCTTCGTAGAAAATCAAAAGACCTCTTTAGGTTAATTGTATTCATAGCCCTTCGTCCGGCATGGCCAGGTGGTTTGAGCGCTCGACTCGCAATCCGTGGGTCGCGAGTTCGAATCCCCGTCACACCAAACATGCTCGCCCTTTCAGCCGTGAGGGCGTTATAATGTGACGGTCAATCCCACTATTCGTTGGTATAAGAGTAGCCCAAGAGTTGGCGGTGGGTGGTGATGACTAGTTGCCTTCCCTCTAGTCTTACCCTGTTAAATTAGGGACGGCTAGCGCAGATAGCCCTCGTGTAGCTTTGCGCGAAATCCAAAAAACAACAACAACAACATCATAGCCCTTCATAGCTATGTACTTAATCCATGTATTCTGAATTAGTTCAAGAAACAATGCTTATCATATTGCACTTGACTTAACAATCAAATAAAACTAAAGGATGTTTAAAATTCGTTCTTCAACGTAGAGCGTTTTATTTGAAATTCTGGTAACTTCGCTCGTTCGATTCACACTCGGTTCAAAACGACTACGACGTTATCATTGTTTTGTTTTTCTGTCTAGATACTGATTATGTTTATTTTGTTAATTCAGTCTTCTTCATTTTTAAATTATTAGCTGATTGATATACAACAAATTGAGTTATAATGAGATTAGGATCATCGTTAGTTTCTTATTTAATTTTATTTATAAGAAGAAATTTTTAGGTGGATCTGTAAACTCTAAAACTTTTAAAAAGTTTCAAAAATTCTGTCAATTATAACAATTGTTTTAATGAAAGCCAAATCCAAATTCTATGCAACAAAAGTTTTAAAAGGCTATATGTATATGATCCAAAAATACATCAGTCAAAATTTTCTTCTTAAACTTCATTTTTAATAGTTATTAACGAACGATAGGGCTGAAAGAACAGAAAAAGATATGCTTCAATTTTCACGCAATTGTTTTGAGATATGTCTTTCTACATACATATATATATGTATGTACGTAAATACATATATAAATTGACTTAGATATTTATATCTCAATGCTAAGCCTTCTTACTTTCCCTAAATTTAACTGCCCGTATTTGGATTTAGATATCTATATCTCAATGCTAGGCCTTCTTACTTTTCCCTACATTTAACTGCCCGTATTTGGATTTAGATATCTATAGCTCAATGCTAACCCTTCTTACTTTTCCCCAAATTTAACTGTCCGTATTTGGATTTAGATATCTATATCTCAATGCTAAGCCTTCTTACTTTTCCCTACATTTAACTGCCCGTATTTGGATTTAGATATCTATATCTCAATGCTAGGCCTTCTTACTTTTCCCTACATTTAACTGCCCGTATTTGGATTTAGATATGTATAGCTCAATGCCAAGCTTTCTTACTTTCCTCCAAATTTAACTGCATATATTTGGATTTAGGTAATTATAGTCCAGTGGCGTTATTGATTTATGATTTATCACACTTGATGATGGACTAACGTACCGAACGTTTCCTTTCTTCCTATGATTTAGGGACCATACATTTATCTACATCTTATTTAATACCCAAGAAGACTTCGAATGAAATGATAAAAACCAAAATATTTTCCAAACCATAAGAGATGATGTCATCATTAAAGTAAAGGTGACGTAGTATTCGATAAAGTGTAAATATGATTAACACCCTACCAAGCACATTAATAGGCTTGAAGTAACTAATACACAATACAATCAGTTATTTTCGGCTTTTTCATTTTATGGCTTCTTCTGGAAATTATCACCCTGGAAAGCACAATAGTAAATTCGGATTAACTAGCAAGTAATATTATTAGTTGTTCTCAACGTTTCGTCTTGCGGTTTTTTCTGGAGGTTAACGCCCCACGGAACGCATGAATAACTAACAAGTAATACTGGTAATTTTTGCTCGACGTTTCACTTTGAACCTTCTTAATGATAGAGAAATTACTGAAGGAAAAATTCCAATTCATTTCTGCTACAGTATGTAAATGAGTACCAATTCAAACCCAGAATAAACTTCAACAGACTCTGAGGTTATTCGTATGGTTGACGTTAGGGTAAGTAATACGTCATTTCTACACGATTAAACCTCTCATGATCTCAAAACAAATGAAAGAAAATATAAAACCATTAACAACCAACAAAGCGCCATCTGGTGGAATTGTTTAACAAACCTTCTTGTACACATAAAAGTTCAATTTCTTTCACCTTCTGAAAAATGAATAGCAGTACTTATAACACTTTTTGAAAGGAAAACGGGATATCTGTATTTATAAGGCATTTGAAAAGAAAGATGTAAAAGTTATATTTATAACACATTTAAAAAGAAAAACGGGATATCTGTATTTATAACACATTTAAAAAACATGATATCTGTATTTATAACACTTGTTCAAATAAAAACAGGATATCTGTATTTATAACATATTTCAAAATAAAAACGGGATATCTGTATTTATGACACATTTCAAAAGAAAAACGAGACAGCTGTATTTATCAATCTTATCTAAATGTAAAAATAAAACGCATAATGTAATAATCAGAAGCGTTAAGCTCATAAACAGTTTTCGCAAAAGAGCAAAACTTTTAAAACCTGTTAATAATACGCCTTCTACTTTAGACTCGTTCTAGTTTCATCCATAATACAAACACCACACCTACTTCGTACTCCCTCCAGTTCCATCCATGACTCAAACAACAATTCTACTTTATACACACGCCAGTTCCATCCATGACTCAAACAACAATTCTACTTTATACACACGCCAGTTCCATCCATGACTCAAACATCAGTCCTATTTTAGACTCATTCCAGTCCCATCCACAATGCAAACAACAATTCTACGTTAGACTCATTCCAGTTCCATTCATAACGCAAACACCACAATAAACGTTTAAAAATGGCACATATTAAGTTTCATAAGAAACAAGCTTTTTCAAAACTCCAGAATTTCTAACAATACATTACTGATATTTAACATTAATTAATATATGCTAAATCTCACCTCTGTTCTCAAACTGTGTGTTAACCATTCAGGATGGCCATCTTATCATCTTATCTCTACGATCCCGTCAATCACCAGTATTTATGCTCATACCTAGAAAATAATGAAGATACTTTTCAACATATCAAGTTAGATTGTTTCAAACTTTTTCTTCTTGTCCATAACGCACATAAAAATTACTGTTTTCTGCAGCGAAAGTCATGTGTTATCTGTGAAAATTAAATTGTCGTGCATAAACAGTTTGGCAATTTTTTCTTACTGTATCCACCAATCTAAGCGATTATTTGTTTTTTATTTTTTTACTTTCCCAAAATAATATCACTAATATCATTGCTTTACAGGTATTTACTGAAGACGATAAGACCTTACGCTTCTCTGGCAGTCCAAGTGAATGCTTGAGGAATATTAAACTCGGCAGAGATGGATTCATAGCCTTTAGTCTTAGTGGGAAAAGTAAGTATGCTTCTGTAACAAGCTGTTTTGGGTTAAAAGTCTCGTAGTTTCTCGCTTATTAATCAAGGTCGTGATCAAGAAAACGGACGAAAGTATCTTCAGGCTGAAAATATTCCATTTAAATCTAGTCTCGATAATTGAATTTATTTACGTAATTATGAAGTTTCGGGAAAAGTGTTTGTAGTTGTTGTTTTCTTAGTGCAAAGCTACTCAGGAAGCTATCTATACTTTCAGGAAAAATACGTCATATGCATCAAACGAACGTTTCGTGTGTAGATATATTCTAACCTGGTCTTACATCAATACAACCGAGATTGAAGTTACTTGGCATTCGGAAAGAGTAATATGACTATTGTACTTGTAAGCAATTAAAAAACGTAAAACACACAAAAATCGCACACGATTTCCAGACCTCTAAGTGCAGGTCATAAGAAGTTGTATTTGCAAGGTATCGTCCAAAGAAATTTTTGCTCTCTAGATGTATTTGAAGTTCGTATTTAAGTCACACTTTTTTTAATAGTTGTAATATTCTGGTAGTCATATTTTGGTAGTTCAGCTGTTAAGAGTTCACTCAAAATTATGCGAGATATTTCTCGAAAATATTAAAAGCTGTTCGAATCGTATTTCTGTTTTTCTTATGCTTAGTTTTTCAACAGATTTATGCGTGAACGTATTTAGATTATGTATCACAAAACACTTAATGTATTGTTTTATTTGTATTTATAAAACGTTGATGACTGAAGGCACAACATGTTTTATATTTCGGATTTAAATAATTTACACACCAAAATATTTTTAAGAGAAAATAATTATTTAAATATTTTTTGGAAATGAAACTGGCAACCTGTCTAAATAGAATACAAAAAAGAAACAAAATTAAAATGTTAGAATAATCAAATACTAAAATTTTAACAAAGAAACAAAACGTTAAATTTCTCATATTTAATATGTTGGATGTATAGAATCAGCCTTGTAAAAGACAGTTAATATGTTGGATCTATAGCCTTTAGATTTTCAAATCACACTTAGTCTATATATTTAAGTTTTACTAAAACATATTTAATAGGTTGGATATATAGAATTCAGGCTTGTAAATACACACTTAATGACTTAGATGTGTTAGATCTATAGACTTGTGACTTATAAAACCACAGTTAATGTATTAAGTTAACAGGCTTCTGACTTATAAAACCACGGTTAATGTGTTAGGTTGAATAGGTCTTCTGACTTAATAAAACCACGGTTAATGTGTTAGGTTGAATAGGCTTCTGACTTGTAAAACCACGGTTAATGTGTTAGGTGAATAGGCTTCTGACTTATAAAACCACGGTTAATGTGTTAGGTGAATAGGTTTCTGACTTGTAAAACCACGGTTAATGTGTTAGGTTGAATAGGTTTCTGACTTGTAAAACCACCGTTAATGTGTAGGTCAAAAAGTTTCTGACTTATAAAACCACGGTTAATGTGTTAGGTTGAATAGGTTTCTGACTTGTAAAACCACGGTTAATGTGTTAGGTGAATAGGTTTCTGACTTATAAAACCACGGTTAATGTGTTAGGTTGAATAGGTTTCTGACTTGTAAAACCACGGTTAATGTGTAGGTCAATAAGTTTCTGACTTGTAAAGCCACGGTTAATGTAATAGCTCTATAGACGTAAGACTTGTAAAACCACATATAATGTGTTAGATCTATAGATTTAAGCCTTGTAAAAACTCAATTTCTCCACTAGAATATCAAAAAATTCTCTCAAAATGTGTTTTTAGTGTACATATTGAAAGTTTATTCAGGCTTTCAATCGATTATCTCTACTTTCTATGAAACAAGAAGCATTTACTCCCCTGAGTACTGCTGTGAAGTGTCTGCTTATTCCTAACGCTGTCATTGGATAGCTTTCTCTTGCCCACATTAAAGATTTAGATTCAGTATGAGTATACAGCTGTCTTCGGGTCTTAAAATCTTTCTAAAAACTATAGCAATTTCGAGATCCCACTCAGCTTGCCGCATAATGCAAGAAACCTTGCAGTGTTATCTTGTTTCAATCCATAAAGTAAGTGCTTTTCCTCCTATTTTCAAGAATTACTTCTAAGTGTTTGTACAATACATTTTCTATCAAAGTAGAAAGACATTTCTTTATTTATTATGCTTGTAAGGGTGTACAAGTGCTGCAGAATGCTCTGGTAAGAATGTTAACAAATAAAACCTACAATTGTGTTTTTAACCTATAACATAGGTATATTATCGATTTGTTTCGTTTGTTCTGACGCAAAGCTGCACTGTAGACTGTCTGTCTTGTGGCCACCGCAGTGATTGAACCTTGAATTTCAGGGTTATAGAGCCTGAGCCACAGTGGGGGGGGGTATAAATCAAATTTATTGAGCAAGCTTTCTTTCAAACTCTCTTTTGGTCCCAGCTGAAGATAATTTGAAAGTTCACTCAAGAAATATTGTATATCAAAATTGGCCTGAGTTATTTTATCAACTTTTACACATGATAAACTATGACAAAAGTTTGCATACCAGATGTAATAGAATCGGTAAATGACTAATGTATTAACATTATTTGACTTTGTATAACATACTAAGGCTATCTATACATCCGTGAAGTGTTAGGTTTTACTTAGCAGAGTCGGTTGGTAAGATATCACAGCTGCTGGTAAAATGTTCTGTCAATATCCGGATAACATTGATGAACGTGTGGAAATACAAAGAAAAGTTAATTCGGAATATTTTATCCTTTAACCTCAGCCTCTTTTTTTATTGCAGTTTACTTTTCATAATTTTTGTATTTTTTTACATCCAATAACAGATCTATAAAGATAAAAAATAATATATATAACAACATACAGTATTTTTTGTCTCAGGTCTTTGCAGCGACACCAACGGGTCTTCTCGACATTCCTGGCTTCTCCTTACAATATTAGCTATTCTGTTAACGATGTTTCCCAGCCTGATCCGTGGAGTTGCTAATCTCGAGTGTGTGTGATCAGACAGAGTAACGACATGCACAGTGACTCTTTGAACACGAAGACGAGATGGACGATTCATAGTTGACTCATCGCTGTTTGTTATGGAATATTGTTGAAGACATTTTGTTTGTTTTAGGAACGCTTTCGAAGAAGCCGAAACATTAGAAAACAAAGACAACAGAGATGTGGATGATAACTGTTACGGATATTTTGTTGAAAATTTTAATAAGTTGTCTTCAAATTTTAAAGCTGATTGTTAGCCTTCTATATTCTACTTAAATAGAATGTCTGCGTGAGCGAAAACAACTCTGCTGCTCAAGTGGAAAGTTAAGAATATATCTAATTAGCATCAAGGCTGAAAGCTGTTTACTACTGATTATTTATTTTATAAATAATTTAAAAATGTACCTTCATGTAAAAACAACATATCTCCGTTCTTTTCGACAAATGAGTTACTAAAGTTTGTATTTAAAATTCACATTCATTAACCATACTTAAAACGCAATTAATAACATTTTTAAGTTTTCTTTAATTCAAGTCTTACTCCTAAAATTCTTTACTTTCATGACGGTAACGGTGCCTTTCAACGTGTTATTTCTAATGTTTCAGAGCAAAAAACAGAAAACAGTCTCTGGTGTCATTGTAGATTCGAAGCCTTTGCTCTGCCTGTAGAAGGCCCATTTCATGGAACTGGCAAAATAAAAGGAATATTTTGACTTCATATTTTTGTTGAATGTATCATGAATAAACAAGTACTTGTGGTAAATTTTTTTCTAAAAGAACAATTTTATTAATAAAACTGACGTATTTGTTTCTTGATTATTTAAATTAGGTTTCATATCTACCATGTTATTTTCTTTCAAGTTTTCTAACTCAAATATGAATAGAAAGAAAACCAACTTAACTGTAACAACAAATTTTTAGGCCCTATACTCAACTTGCTAGATGTATGATCTGACATTTTAGTAGACTTTCAGGCTTAGCGCATTATGCAACTTTTTTTGTTTTTCTGCTGTTTAGTTTAAAAGCAATAATGCGTTTAGGATTCTTTGAAGATGAGCTGATGCATGTACTTCCATTCTCGGAAATAATAACTGAATATGCCACCTGGTGGATGAAAGATAAGATAATATAACTAACTAACTGCGTTAGTTAATATTTATTTTACGTTTCAACATAGAAACGTCAATTAAATTAAGCAAACTGCGCTTTAACGTGTCAACACGAAAATGTCATTCAAACCATACAAACTACTTTTTCAAGATCTTAATATAGAAACAAAAATTAAACCAAGTAAATAGCATCTTAAAGGCCTCAACAAAAAAGGTACTCGTTTCAAAATCCTAGACTAATGCCAGGAATGAAAGACTCTATGTTAAATTGCTTTTCCAAACAGCAAATCAATGTATAAAATTTCAAAGTACAGTCTAATGATTCAATATTCTTTTTCTTGTTTTTCGAAATGGCGAATTTAAATCTAACCTTCCGCTTTGTTTAAAATTTCACCATAATTCCTGAGTATGTATATGATACAACTGAATTCTGTTCTTATAGTATTGATTCTCATAAAATACATGCTCTTACTTGATCAGTACTAATACCGTTTTTCAAGTCTGCAGAGGTAACGGAATTGACGTAGGCATAATTTCTTTAAAGAACGATGTAAGAAAAGATGCAAATAAAACTAAAGTTGAAAATTATCATTTTCGGTAGGTTGAAATCAATAACCGAAAGATCTGATAAATTCCTGAGAAGGTAATATTGATAGAACACCCTCCTTGTATAATGTCATGTATTTTAACACCTTTCGTCCGTGCTTATTGTCATATTAACATTGTCTATTCAGACCATATGTGGTCTTTAACTTGTGACTGACATATTGTTCATGAATTTTTGGTCTTACAAATCCAGAGCCAATGTCTAAATGCACTTTTTTTGACATACAGCTCACGAACTTTAGGGTCTTACAAACCCAGAACTAGCAGTCTTAATGCTTTTTTTAGAAACTTTTCACGAGCTTCAAGGTATATTACAAACCCAGAACTAATAGTCTTATTGGTGCTTAGATTGATTCAGGTAGTATGTCTGTTATTTGTAACACTAAAAATATATATTAGTGATATTGACAAAAGTCTAAGCTTCACATTTAAAACTGGATCTTCCATACAAAAATCAAAATAACATGAATTGTTTTGTTCAGCCTTTGTGTGTGCGTGTGTTCTATATTCTTCGTTTTTTCAAACGGCTGATCTTTTGTGTTTTTTTTTTCCGATATTTGTTTTCTAATCTAATATTTCAAAGACCAGAGGGCGTAATCCTGAAAATCAAAGAGCAGTTACAGCCTTTGTAGTGACATTATTGTTGGAGTTTCCTCTGTAGGCTGTGTAAACTATAATCTAATGGAATTAGCCGATACCTTTCTCAAGTCTGTTCATCATAGATAGAAAAAAAAATATGTACATGCACATGAAAAGAAGAGTCATAACAAATCAAACCTTTTACTTTTAGGTCAACCATATTCGTATATGATTTGATTTATGCCATTTTAGTTTGTTTGTTTTTGTTTTAACTTTACTTATTTATTTATACGCTTTTTAAAATTAAGAAAACGTAGAGTAGTAGTTGTTTTAGGATTAAGTATTTTAAGGAAAACCTAGAAAGCCTTTCTAAATTAGTTTTGGAACATTCACGCATTCATTGCTAGAGATTCAAATTGTTTAAAATAAACTCAAAAATTATGTAAAATCTAATACTACCAAAAAGGATTCTTAAACAGATGAAGGAATGGTCAATAAATTACTTAAATTTGCTGAAGATATTAAGGTCTTGGGTGTTGCTAACTGTGAAGAGGATGCTGCTGCTTTACTAAAGGATTTAGAATATTTAGTAAGTTGGGCGAATAAATGGTAGATGGGTTTTAATTATAATAAATGCAAGATAATGCATGTGGGTTATCATAATTTGAACTATAAATATAATTTGGATGGGAATAACCTTTACAGTGTTATGAAAGAATGGGATCTTTGTAATAATTGATCAGTGTGCTGTTGCTAGTTGTAGGGCAAATAGAATTCTAGGTTGTATCTAAAGTAATGCCAGTCTAAAGAGGTTATAATGTCACTGGTTAGGAGGATTGTGTTCAGTCTTGGGATCCTTAGCTTAGAAGTACATTGAATTGTTGGAAAGGGTTCAGAGGAGGGTTACTAGAATTGTGCATAGGGTTGTTATATGAGGAAAGGTTAAGATCTCTGAAATTATTTTAGAAAAGTTAGAAGAATCTGATTGAGGTGTTTAAGATCGTAAAGGGAATTGGTAGTGTTGATGCATCATTGTTTTTTCTTTTTCATATTTAACAGTGACAATAGCAGGACTAGGGGACATAAATATAAATTTTATGCAAGGTGAGAGTAATCTACACTTAAGACAATTTTATTTTTCTAACAGGGTCGTTGGCCTTTGGAACAGGTTGTTGTGGAGGCTGTAAATTAAAGTGAGTTTCAGAGAAAGCTTGATAAGTATATGAATGAAAATGGCTGGCTTTGAAGGGTGTTTATATTTTTCATTTAACAGTTATAATATATTTTAGAGGATGGGACAACCTAATTGGAGAAATAGATCCATTGGTGTCCCTAAACATAATGCTATATTTTTTTGATTTGCACTTGAATCATATTTTTCTATGTTTTTTGTATTTTTGCATATGCATTTTCAATCTTTCCTTTATAGCATATATAAAAAGAAACCACTTTCGTATAATTCGAGAGCTTCGCCACGATTTGGCATTTCAACTGTAAGCAACACGTTATTTCTTCCAGTAATAAGAAATCTTTGGTAAAACATAGACATGAGTTTTATTACATCATCATCAGCCACCAACTAATATTTCTGTATCAAACAAAACACCAAACAAAATCTTCAGTTGTCATTATGATATGTTTTTGCAATTCATAACTTGTATAATGGACTAAAAGACGGCTTCAATATGAATTTAAACTTAAAACAAATAAGTTTTTTCCCTTAACTCTCTGAAGTGTAATCATATTAAAGACAAATACACTAATTTTATTGTGAGTTTATTTCACTTTTTAATACACCTAGTGACATTTAAGTGATTTTTTTATCGATTTGGTTTCTTTTGAATTTCGCCTGAAGCTACACGATGGTCATTTGCTCTATTCGTCACTAATTTAGCAGTGATAAACTAGAGGGAAAGCTGCTATTCAATACCACCAACCGCCAACTCTTGGGCTACTCATTTGGCAACGAATAGAGAGGAGTAATGAACACGTTATAATGCCCCCACGCCTAAAAGGGTGAGCATGTTCGATAACGTAGATTCGAACCCACGATATGCAAGTTGCGAGTCGAGCACCCTAACCACCAGACTATGCCAAAGAAAACAACATCCGAAACATTATACATGTTGGTGATTTTCACCAAAGTCACTGGCAAAGAAACAATCGTATTTAGTGAGTTTCTATCGTGAGCCGTTCATTGTTAACTTCAAAATTAGTGACACAAAAACATAAGTTCTTATTAAACGATTTATTTGTTTTAATTGAAGTGTAAGTTTAATCATATGTTTCATACACAGAAAAGCATGAAAATTTGTTCGTGCTGTCTGTTCAGTTTAACAGAAGTGCTGTAACTTGTCTTCTGCTACACGTATGTTTGTATTATTATTTGTTCAGTTTAACAGATAAAATGATGTAACCCGTTTTCTTAAAACTAGAAACAACATACCTGCAAATACAGCAACTATACTTGCAAGTAGACTGTTGTGTGCATTAAACACTTGCTGAATAGAGATTAGAAATACTGATTTTGGTTGGTTTGTTTGTTTTGAATTTCGCGCAAAGCTACAGAGGGCTATGTGCGCTAGCCGTCCCTAATTTAGCAGTGTAAGACTAGAGGGAAGGCAGCTAGTCATCACCACCCACCACCAAGTGTTGGGCTACACTTTTACCAACGAATAGTGGGATTGATCGTCACATTATAACACCCTCACGGCTGAAAGGACGAGCACGTTTGGTGGGACGGAGATTCGAAGCCGCGACCCTCAGATTGCGAGTCGAGCGTCCTATCCACCTGGCCATGCCGGGCCCATACTGATGTTGGAAACCTGTACTGGACCGATTAAGAATGTAGCGTTAAAGATTACAGCAGTCATTCAGAGATGATTTGTTTTATTTCAATCTTAATAATGCTTTATCTTTCATAAAAATCGACGTTAATTCCAACACTCAAAATATTTAAAATATGAATAAATCTATTGTCTAAAATCAATTGTACAGAAACTATTATAATTGTTCTGTTTTTTCTGCAACCAGTTAAAAGTTTTTGTTCATTCCTTTTTCGTGTTACTCTGTAATCAGTTCACTTCTGATAAAACGAGGCAAATGCTTGAACCTTTGTGGTCGATCAAACGCGTTCTTATTGTCGTTACAAAATATATATATATACAGCTGTGAAGGTAATTACTATAATTATGACCTTGTTCAACCAAAGCATCCACCAGACTGATGATGAAAACAATCACTATTGGACGAAGTAGTTGTCAACACAAACTGACAAGGAACCACTCCAATATATATCATAACTCGTCCGCTATATGCTCAACATTCGAAGATATTATACATCAACAGTGCATTTGCCTACCTGTTTGTCTAATTATCTGCCTTTCTGCCTATCTACATGT